CCACGCACTTGTACGATTGGGGAGCAACTGCTGGTGCATTGACTCGGTCTCCTATTATGGCCAACAATCAGCCGACCAAACAACCTGTTCAAGGAGTTGCTAGAGCTTCGTTGTTAGAGGTTCAGGAGGCTACGATTCAATTATCGGTCGGCAGGAACAAGACTGGGGGTATTCAATTGTTGCCTTGTGAGAAGCTATCTATCATTTCAATTGCTTAAGATGGATTGACTCCTTGGTATGAGGAGACCCAATCTTTATGTTTAGAAAAAAAAACTAGTTCATTTTATTAATGTTTGTTTGTTGGTGGAGTTGAGGCAATCCAGATTGTCGATTCACCAGTAATAGGTGTCGAATGGGACTGGATTTTTGGTTTAGCTGAGGAAAATTTGGCTCTGTTGTGGAGCAGAGGGAAGGAGGTCGGCCTACCTGCTAATCCTCGAGAAGAGAAACTGGTGACCCTTAGGTTAGAGCATTCAACAAAGCTGGCGACTATTCGATAGACTTGTTTGGTTCTTCTGATCCAAGCTGAGGCAGATGGTGCAGATGGATTTAGGATCGAGGAGAAAGTTTTGTATCAAAAGATGCTTTAGCAAAAACTTGTCTTGGATGATGAGAAACTTGCCAAGTATTTCCTTTATGAATAAAATTTTGAATTTAATGTTTTTTGAATTTATTTTTTGTAATTATTTTTCTCTCACATATTATGTTGATGTGACTTAAATTTTTAAAATCAAGGTACGACCCTTGTGACGTTCAGCTTCTTCATGCTTCCTATATATAAGGGATGAGAGTTAAACTTTTAAGCACTTTCAATTTCTTCTTTCTTTTCTCTGCTCTTTCTTTTTCTCTCGTCTTTCTTAGTTTTGTTTGAATATCTCCAAAGTACTCGTCCCAACCCTTTCGGATCATTCCCCTCGACTGAGAGCTCAACCATATCTTTAGCTGGTGAATCTCTACTCTAAGATACTTGTGTTTTTTATGATTATGTCTAGCTTGAAGCCATTGGACCAAAAAAATTTTGGGAAGGATCTCATCTTCTACAGAGATGGTTCTAATAGGATAACTGACTATCATTCTACCATGAGTCGTGGTTGACCAACCTTTTTTTTTTGTAAATCGACAATTACAAGAATTTGATGGCGCTACTAGAAGATTTAAATTCCAGCAACGGTGTCAAAAACTTGACTGAGACTTTATTAATATGTGTTTGACTTAATAAAGTTGAATAATGTTAAAGTCGAATTTGTCAACGCAAGTATACGTATCTCTAATAGGCAATTGAGTAAGTAATATAGGGCTCTAATGGAGTCCTAGTTATCGATCCCACAGGGAGAAATAGAATACTACGGACTAAGGCTTAATAAAAAGTAATACTTCAACTACAACGATGGCGTTCAATTTGCTTATCTGTCACTAATAGGCAATTGAAATAAGTAGATAATTTGGATAACTAGTAAATAACTAATGATAGAAAGTAGGGTTTAATTGTGATATTCAATATATAAGAAAGCATCATTCTCCTTGTCAAGAAATTATAGTGAATGAATAAAATGAATTAGTTCAATTTATGTTGTGTCATATAGGAGCATACCTATTCTATACCCTTTGGTCTAGGCATAAAGAACTTTGACTAATCCTATGCTTAGTTACTGATTCTGCGGCTAGGCTGGGAGGATACCGGCTCTCACTTAGGAGCTCCCACGTTCCCCTAACCTAAGGGCTAACATCTACACATCCGCACCCAAACGATAGAATCGAATTGAGGATTTTAGTCTGTCACTCTAAAATCTCCAATTCTACGCTCGATAGTAATATTTCCCTATTTATTTGCACCCAACTTCCAAGAGCTTTGACCTCCCTGAATCTTGGGTGTAATCTTCACTTTAGTTGTAAAACTCAACA